GGTAGACATGTATTTAAACTCAATATGGTGTTCTGTGGATTGGTAAACTGAAACAGATATTTTTGATTACATGCTACATTGTTCTTACACAGATCCCAACAGATTTTGAGAACAGTGAAAGGTACCATGTAACAACAGTATCTCAGGCAATTCAAATTTACTATATTTTCTTGATTGGTACAGGCTGCCATATTATTGCATTAATTATTTTAGAAACATGCTCCCAAGGTCAAAATGAAATATATCAGTTGCTTCATATATGGATGGTTGTTAAATTTTGGATTTACTTTCTAAAGCCTAAATTAAACACTCCAACAGACATCTAGGCCTGTTTGCCTGGATGAAAACAAGGATGACTAACTGTAAACTGCAGGCTCCTCCAGGGCTTATCTCCTTACCATTCTAAAACCCCACTCCTGCACTTTCCAGCCAAACACAATTATAATGCTTGTTGACACTTTTTAACTCATGCGTTGCCTTTCTTTCCTCATCATTCAGCAGTAAGACAAGTGCAACTGGGCCTCTTGGTTTTAAAAAAAGCACAGGGGAATTTTTGTTAAAATGAATAATCACTACCTTTGTTTGTGCCCTGCTTTGTTCCAGAAGGAACATTGAGATATCTATAATCATTACCTAATTGATTTCTCTCATTCCCATGCCCCTCTCCTCCTCTTCATAAGCTAACAGCTCCAGGTTGACTTTGTGTTCAATAAGAAGCAACCACACATTCATATTTATCAAGACAATATTAATCCCCCCAAGGAACGATGAAGCTTGAGCTGTTTATTTAACAAACATTTATTTTCTCCCAACTAAATGGCCATGGTTGCAATGGTCTAGTGGGAGACACAAATAATTACAAGAGAATGAGGTAAATGCCTAACAGGGAGATACAGAATGCTCTAGAACACACAGAAGGGACAGCTCGTTCAGATGTGGAGGGTCAGAGAGAATTCTCACAACTCACAGAACTGTAAGCACATGAAGGCAATATAGACAGCAATACCACTGAAATGCTAGTTAATGCAAATGGTGTATCCAAGTGAGTCAACCTCTCAGTCCAGAGAAGTTGCTACAGATGCTTATTACCATCGTGCTCCCATAGCCTTCGTATTGGCCACAGTTTACCTAAATACTAGGTTTAATGCCAGATTTCTACTTCCCTGTATTTCTATATTCTGCATCCTTCTGTCCTGTTTCACTATTTTTACCAGTCTCCTAGCTAACAAGCTTTTCAACTCAGCCTAACAAACATTCAAGAGCCCATGTGGGAAAGAGGATGGGCAACACTGGATGCAGGGAAGGAAGGAAGGCACCATGAGGACTACATGACCACAGAAGTCCAGCATTATATAGCAGTATCCATTGGTCTCTCTACTCCCCACAAGTCTCACAGAGTTGACCTGGCACTTACAATCCTATCTGTGAAACAAATACCCCTATGTTAAACTTATCTTAGCTTCGACAGATTTCTCTGGACCCTGAGTCTGTCCTATGCTGAATTCTTTTCCTATGACCCTCTGAGTATTCCTTCTAATATGGTAAATTTCTGGCTTCTAGAGAATCCAGTGTATAACCACAATGTTTGGATCAAAGACAAATACCCAGGGTTGACCATTTTCCCTTCCAAAAATCATTGAGCACTCTACAAACTAAGTAAATGGTAAGACAGAATTACTTTTAATATCTTTTTTCAATCCTGAGATGTTGTAATTCTATGATATAGAATTGTAGCCACTTTTCTACGAGGGTTATAGGTGGGTAAAATTATCTCAGCTTAAGATGGAATTGTTAAGAAAAAATGGTTCAACATTTCAATAACATTTGGTCTTCCAAAGTTGACAACTACATTTACTATCAATGGCACAATGCAGCTGCATATGTGAGCAAACCAGGCTTAGGCCATACTTGATATATTTTATAACCAAAGACATAGAGTTTTACTTCAAAAGCTCAATTAAGTATAAATTTTAACAAACAAAATAAAATGCAATGACTTAAAAATTGTTTGGGATTATATGATACTTCACATCTGAGAATGTGTAAATATTGCCATTTCCCTGAATCAAATATTAATTATCTTGATATCTTAGTACTAAAATATATAAAAGTTGTACTCCACATTTTGGACTCTTTGAATAGCATTACAGCTCTATAACAAGGCTGTGCCTATGCCTGTGTGCTACATAACCTCATCTACCTTCGGTGTACCACATTTTGCATGTCTAACATGGAGAGCTTATTGTTAAGATACGGGTCTTACAATTTACAGCATGAATTACCATTCAAAGCATAAAGACCAGAAAGCCACATTTCTTAAGGCCTGTACCAGGTGCAATCTCTCAGGAAAGCTCCTCACAGCTCCCTTGCCATTTTGAGCCAATGTTCTCATCTACTATTAGGGAAATGGCCTTGTGGTCCCAGGCAGTTCTTGACAGAAAGGACCTAACCATTTGGGTGCTGAGCTGGCCTCTGGCATTTCCTAGCTATGTGACCCTCACAAGTAACTCAACCTCTCTAGGCATTAGTTTCCTTGTGTATACAAAAAAAGAGAGATAATCATAATACACCTAGGTTGCTGTCATACTTCAATACTTAACTCTAAAACTGGTTACTTGGAAGAATTCTGAGTAGGTTACTGGAATGCAGGAAAACAAACACGAGGAAGCCACTGGGTCCCAAACAAATGAGTTTTGTAATTGCTCTGGCTCAACTGGTTGAGCCATATTTAATTAAGTCTGGAATTTTCAAGTACAAAGACAGAGCTTCCCCACAGGACACCTAAGACAAGAGAACAAGAGGTGGTGGAGGTGGAGAGTTCTCAGAACTGGCTCCTGAGGAGTGTGTCTGGAGCAGCTAATCACACTGTGTTGAAATGGGTGAAGGAGGAAGGTTCCTCCATCAAGTCAAACCAATCTTTTTTTTTTTCATTACTTGGGATTTAACTCAGGGCCTTGTACTTGAGCCATACCCCCAGTGTTTTTGCTTTTAGCCTGCTTTTCAGATAGGGTCTCATGCTTTTACCCCAGCTAGTCTCAGACCTCAATCTTTCTCCCTTCTCCTCTGGCACAGTGGGATTACAGCCTCAAACGACCATGCCCAGCTTCTTTTTTGAGACAGGGTCTCACAAACATTTGCCTGGGCTGGCCACTAACAGAGATCCTCCCATCTCACCTCCTGAGTTACTGGGATTACAGGCATGAACCACCATGTTTGATTGTATCTAGAACCAATCTTACATCACCCTCCTCCTCAACTTTTCAGCTCTACTGTTAAATCCAGGGTCAACCACCTCTGAACTCTATAAATGTGAGACAACTGTGGGCAGTGGGCTGTGGGACAGAAAAGAAGGAGCAGAGTCCAGTAGCAGTAGGCTATATGGGTATGGCCTACAGAGCAAACCACCTCCTACATGTCCCCTATGATATTCACTGCTATCATATTTAGCTAAAAACTAAAACTGTCACCCACACAACATCCATCCCATTAGGAAGAGGGGAACAAGCCAACACCAGAAAACATAATGGTCATTTGAGGGAAAATGGTTCAGAACATACGAATCATTTGGAAATAGCCTGATAGGCCAAACCACACCAACACCACATTTAAATAAAATACATTTAAATAAAATATACACAACTACCAAAAGCAAAATGATGACTGGTCGAAACGCTAGCTCTGCTCTCCTGTCAGGTCTGCTGGCGATGCACCTAACTAGCTTTAAAATCCTATTCTGAGTAAGGGGCCAGCTTGATAAGTGAAGACCTCTGAGTTTTGCTGGGAAGGATCCCATCTTCACAGACCTGCCATGTCACCAACAGTCTATTGTCCTAGTGGGTGGTATCTCAGCCCAAGCGCAGCAACAGGGAAGGCCAAAGCAGAGAAAGCCCGGGTCAGCTCCCAGGCAGAGGAAGTGGTGGCCGCTGGTCCTCTTGCCTTGCACTCTGAGACTTACAAGTCACATGTTGCTTCTACTCTGCACACGAGGCCCTGGGCATTTCACACTCCACCTCTGAAGGCTACTCCAAACATTGTGAATTTTCTGAAACTTGAAGCTAGTGCAGATGGGGTACGAGGGCATAATGTTCCCTGCTCTGATGCCCACCACCACAAAGCCTGAGTGTGGTGGCACGAGATCAGGTGAAAGCACACTCCATCCCTCTCCCCCCAGCCACTGTGTTCTTTCCCAAGACTCCTGTGTTGCCGCTCACCACTCTTCCAGAGACGGACTTCCATCTCTAGTTGAGGAAGAATTCCTTCATTCTTCTACATGTTCATGTTTGCCCAAGTAGTGACCCTGTCACTAGGCTTTCCATTTCACACAGTCCCTTGATTTGCTATGTGTTGAAAGATCCGCTGGGTGAATTAAGAACAGACATGACCCCACCTGATGTTAGAGCTTCAGTGGAATGGTCTCATTCTTGGAAGCAGCAGTTTCACAAAGCCCTCCATCCACACTTCACACTCTACCTGGGAAGTCAGTGGTGGGCACTAAGCACACTCCAAGGCTATAGAAAGGAGGTCACAATGGGAAGCCTGCCACCCTCAAAGGAAGCAAGTCTGGAATGATCTGTCCCCTGAGCATTCTGGGTATTCTGGGAGTAGGGCAGAGGCTGTCTGCATTCATAGATGGAGGGCAGGCTTGAAAAGGGTGCCATCTGGACAAAGTTGCTTATAGTTCTTTAGCCCAGTGCTGCTTTGTGGCCTGTTACGCTGTGTGTCATTTTCTGCCACTCCACCCCCAATCTATTTGCCAAATACCTCAAGATGTTTCTAAGAGGTTCTGAATTATTGACAAGCCTAGGGAAGAAGCTTTGGAAAACATCAAGTACAAAAACAGACCTGGACAGCTAGGGCAAACACTTGGTCATTAGCAGTTTCCTTTTCAAGGCCAAAAAGGGCAAAAGAAAGAAAAAGCTGCCTTTGCTAAATAATAATGATATTCACAGAAGCACAGACACTGACATTCCAAAGCTCACAATCGCTCCAGCTCTACTCACCCCTAGCCATCTTGCTCCTTTATTGGCAGCCTGTTGAATCTGGACTCTTTTGAGGGTGACATGGTAAACAGCTCCTTCCTCTACCTCTTCACCCCAGTCCTGAATCGAGCTCTGCCAGAGATGGGAGAAAGAGAAAGAAAAAGAATATTTTTCCCCCCTTCTCTCTAACCACAATCTAACCCAGCTGCTTTGCTGCTTACAACAGCACTCAGGGCACAAGATGGGTTGTTCAAAATAAATATTTCAATCAGAGCGATAAAAGACACACTGTGATAGAGGGAACGCAGAGATTTTCTTGGCCGGAAACCCCTTCCTGTGATATCAGGCTCCCCATACTTTTCCACTTATTTTTCTTAAACTTGCTCACATATCTTAAAGAGTGTTTCAAAATACTATTTTCTTCATAAAGAATCTGTAGTTTAGTCCTCCCTGATTGACTTAAACAACTCGTTTGTAAATTTTAAAAAGTTTATACTTTTGTAAGTGGCTCAATCATTTGAGCAAACTAGATTTAAACTTAGACACAAACAAGTGTTTAAAATGCCACTACTTTGGGAGTGAGAGGATTTGCATGTCTTTTTCTCCTCTTATTGTTTTGGGACCCAAAAAGTTAGCGGGGATGGAAAGTTTTTATTTCCGTAAAAGAATCTGGCAAGTGCAGAAAAAGCAACACATCATCATGAAGCCTCCGCTCCAATTCAGGCGGCGACCCCCTGGATTTTCTGTCGCCAGTCCCCTCTCCTCCACCCCCCCCACCTTAAACTTGGGGTACAGAGGCAGAAGCGCTCAAGGACTAGCAGCTCTTTTTCCTTCAAAGTTCTCCTGTCCTGCCACGCATCTGTCCCGGACACCCTGGCAAGGGCTGAGAAAGCAGGCATCGTTTAAAAAGAGAGGGAGAAAGCGGGTTGGGGAACCCTGCTCCCGAGCCGGGATGGGATTGCTCGATGCAGAACGAGCGAGTCCAAAACCCGCCCTGGGAGCGCGGGAGCCGGTTCCCCTCCGAGCAGCCCCGGGAGAAGGCAGCGAGCTCTCGTTACCATTTTAGCTTGCCAAAGCAATTTCATTCTCAGTTTTCTGTCCGGTGCGTGCTCGCTGCATGATGCGCTCTGCTCCGACGCCAAGGCCGCGGGGTCCGCTGCCCGGGTCGCGGTCCCGATCCCGGTCTCGGTCCCGATTCGGGTCCCGAGCCCGCCGCGCACAGACACGCGCCGCGCTGCCCCGCCGCCGCCAGTGCGCGCGACTCGGGCCACAAAGGGAGCGCAGCAAGAGAGCGAGCGAGCGAGGAGCAGACTCCTCCCCACTCCTCTCCGTGATGTCAGGCTTTCCTGTTTGTGCTTGCGAGCGCACTCTCCCTTTCTTAAATCTCATGGATAAAGTCAGCACGAAATCTTTTCTCCAGCGCTAAGGGATTGGGCTGCAACCCTTTCAAGTTTATCAGGTTTTCCTGATGGCCACCAGGTGCCAAACAGAACCATGTGTGCCACGGGGGATGTAATAAACTTAGGCAGGCGAGGATCAAAAACACTTCCATTATCTGCCTGCTGTCTCTTGAATTTCGAGTAATTAAATCAGAGTATCGCCAGTGAGAACAGCAATTCTAGAAGCCGGAAAGTTTTTCATTAGGACAAAGGATAAAGTCAGAGGATACCTGGATATTCTAAAACCAAGCCCAGGGGCTGTGCCCCGTTCTGCGTGGGGAAACTCCCAACAGGAAATCGTTCCGGACTTCTTTCTACCACCCATTCCGATAACATGCCATCACTGGATAGCTGGCCATTTGGGTGGGAAGCAGGGAAGGGTTTTGTGGGTCTGACAGTATGGAGAGTGGGCCATCAGTGGTCCTGAAGGTCCTGAGTGTATGTGAGTGGCCACCATGGGTTGAATTGGTCATCTGTACTGTAGGGACACAGTGGGATAACAACTGCAGGGAAAAGCCCTTCATAGGACAGCTGCCAGGATGAGTTTTATCCTAATGGAAAAATCCGTGTTGGGACAAAAGATTGTTACATTTTTTTAAATCCAGTTTTAATAAATTAACAGCAAGAGATAACATAATAATACAATCAAATTTGGCACCCAACAGAATTCGTGCCAATTACAAAACTCTCTAGAGTTCATGTGTTTTATACTAGTCACTCCTAAATGACCTGGCTTCCCCTAAATGAATTTAATCTTTTTTAACGTCTTTAAAAAAAAAAGAAGATTGGGGGGGTGGTGACTCCTACAAGAATAACCATGTTGAGGCATAATGCCAGATTTTGGTTAACAATAAATATATCATGAGCTGAAAAGTTAGAGAATCAATCGTACTGATGTTCCCAGGAGAACAGAATAAATAAGAGTTAGGGCACATGAAGGAAAAACAAAAGGATCTTTGGACACTTGAAAATGTCTTCAAATTACTCAGTCAAGTTCCCCTCGTACAACCAGAACCTCCAAGTAGAGAGAATGTTCTTTTTATCAAACCAAACTGATTGTTTGTATAATTTAAAAAAGAAAAAAAAAACCCACATAGACTAGATCCTGATGATGACCAGGACAGGGTGTCCCCAGGAGCCAGAGAAAAATCATGTGGAGGTCCTACCATTGTGGTGTTAAGCCATCCTCAGGACTCCAGGCCCATCCCTTCAGGAAAACGCAACTGAGGGCCACAAGAGGCAATGAGGACAGTTGGGCTACCTCTAAGATTAATTTCACTACTACTTTAGCCTGATTTTTGGTTATAAATTTCTACTACCTAGATAAGCAGTTTCTTCAACCTCACCCCTTCCCAGAAGCCTTCTTGGACACCGTGGCTTGAAGCATCCAATACCCCTCTGTCCTCTCCTCCACCAATTCCCTGGCTGGTCACCTGTTGTCTAAAGGGGGAGGCAAATCCAGACTCACAGTGAGAGGGAACTTGGACACTACTTCCTCGCACCTCACTTCCCCATCTGTGAAATGGGACAAGCATTTACTGAACAAAGTTTAAAAAAGAAGTCAGTGAAATAATGTATGCAAATTATCTAGCACATGGTAAGTTTCAAAAAAAAAAAAAGTACCAGTCTCTCCTTATTGCACCAAACTATATTTACCCAGGCTCCATAAGAAGTTGCTTTACCTATGCAATATGGAGAAATCTGAAATGTCTTCTCACTCAGTTACATTAAAATTTCAGGGAGGTTCCCAAGAATAATTAAAAACAAAACAAACAATGTGATGATGACACAATATAAGGCTGGCTTTAGGCTACATAGAAAAGTCAAATGTAACAGTTTACAGGTTTTATAACCTTTAGGCAATGTAGACAGTATTACTATCACAAGTACTTTGGAATGAAATACTTCTAGGTCAGTATGTGGAAAGGATAAACTCATAAGCCATTTATGACTCAGTTTGAATTTCCTTACCAGATTAGCCTGAGATGACAGGTTAAAAGTTTTGTTAAAAGATCATCAGTGTTTTATAGTTTTTAGTATAGGAGTCTTTCATCTCTTTTGGTAAACTTATTCCTAATTTTTTTTAAAGATTTTTTGATATAGGGTCTTTCCCTGTAGCCCAGGCTGAATGAGAACTCTCAATTCTCCTGGCTCTACCTCCTGAGTACTGAGATTGCAGGCACCACCATGCCTGGGTATCTTATTGCTTTTTATACTATTATAATTGTAATGGCTTTCTTAATTTAATTTTCAGATTATTGTTAGTGTCTAGAAACACAATTGACTTCTATATATTAATTTTGTACTCTGTAACTTTACTGAATTTGTTTATTAGTTCTAATAGTCTTTCTGTTGACACAAATAAGTAGACATCCCATGTTAATGGATTAGAAGACTTAATATGTCAGGTATTCATACAAACCAAAACTATCTACAGATTCAATGCAAACCCTGTCAAAAGGTCAATGTACTTTTTACAGAGAAGGGGAAAACAATCTTAAAATTCATATGGAAGCACAAAAGACCCAAAAAGCCAAAGCTATTTCTTAAAAAAGAACAAAGCTAGAAGCTCATACTTCCTGATTTTGAAACATATTACAAAGCTACAATAAACGAAACAGTATGGTACTATCATAAAGACATACATCTAGACCAGTCTGTCTAGATGGAACAGAACAGATAAACCGAATCATATTTGGTCAACTGATCTTCAACAAGAATGCCAAGAATATACAATGGGGAAAGGTCAGTCTCTTGAACAAATGGCATTGGGAAAACTGGATTTCCACATGTAAAAATTAAATTGGACCCTTATTTCATAACACACACATATACTCCCCACACACATCTTAAATGAACTAAAGACTTAAAATCTGAAGCTTCTAAATGACCAGAAAAACCCCTAGAAGAAAACACAGGGGGAAAGCATTGTGACATTGATCTTGCCAATGATTTCTTGGATGTGACACCAAAAGCACAGCCAACAGAAGCCAAAAAATAGACAAGTGGGACCACATCAAACTAAAAAGTTCTCCACGGCAAAGGAAATGATCAACAGAGTGAAAAAGTAACCTATGAAATGGGAGAAAATATTTGTAGACCAAATATCCAATACGGGGTTTTCATCCATACTAGATAAGAAATTCCTATAACTTGATCTAAAAAATGATAATTGTAACCCAATTAAGGAGGCTGGCAGAGTGACTCAAGTGGTAGAATGCCTGCTTTGCAGGCATGAGACCCTGAGTTCAAACCCCATGGAGAGACATTTTTTTGAAAAAGATAGGTAGATGGCAACAGGTACGTGAGAAGACATAACACATTACCAATCATTAGAAAGTGCACATCAAAACCACAATGAGGTTTCACCTCACACCTGTTGTTAGGATGGCTATTACCAAAAAAAGAAGAAGGAAAAGAAGACAGGGAAGGGGGAGGAGAATAGTAGTAGCAGTGCTGGCAAGGATATAGAGAAAAGGTAACCCTGGCACACTACTGTTGGCAATGCAATCAGTACTATGAAAAAAAAAACAATATGGTGGTTTCTCAAAAAATTAAAAATAGAACTATCATAAGATCCAGTAATGGCAATTCTGGGTATTTGTCCGAAAAAAAATTAAAACAAGAGTTCAAAGATAATACCTACATTCCATGTTTAATCCCCATGGTCATTTCCAATGGCCAAGATACAGAAGCAACTTAAATATCTATCAATGGATGCATGGGTTAAAAAATGTCATATAACACCGTGCAGTGGCTCACACCTGTAATCCTAGCTACTTGAGATGCAGAGATGGGGAAGGAGATCATGGTTCCAGGCTAGCCCGAGCAAAAACGTTAGTGAGACCCCATCTCGATCAAAAAAAGCTGGGTGTGGTAGTGAGAATCTGTCATCCCAATTACACAGGAAGTGAAAACAGAAGATCACAGTATAAGCCTATCTGGGCATAAATACAAAGCCCTATTTTAAAAATACCTAAAGAGGAAAGGCTGGGAGCATGGCTTAAGTGGTAGAGTGCCTGCCTAGCCCTGAGTTCAAACCAAAGTACAGCATCCCCCAACCAAAAAAAGAGTCAAACACAGAAAGACAAATACTGTATGGTCTTTATGTGGAATCTAAAATAGTCAAACTCATAGAAGCAGAGTACAGAATGGTGATGCTGGGCAGGAAGCAAATGGAGGCGATGGTTGAAGAATACAAAACCAGTTACGTAAGGTAGCAACTTATTGATATGTACTATATACACAGTACCTCTAGCTACCAAGACTGTATGGTATATTTAAAAGTTTCTGACAGGGTACAGAATTCTACATTAATAGAATAACAGCAATGATGATAGTAAGAATGGGGACAGGAGGAAGTTTTGAGAGGTGACGGATATGTTCATGGCCTTCACGGTAGTGATGACTTCATGAGTATATACTTATCCACAAACCCATCAAGCTGTATACATTAAATAATTCAGCCTTTCATATGTCACTCATACTTCAACACAGTCATTAAAAAAAAAAAACTTGTCTTGAAAGATGACAGTATCAACATAACACAGTTAGAAATAGCAAGGCCTCAGAGTTGTTAAACTTAATGCTGATGACAGTGTCCAATGCCCTGGCCAAAATTTAGGGGAAAAAGGTCAGAAGGGAGCAATAGCAATAATAATAACTCTATGCAGAAAGATCAATCAGTGAGAGGCAAGCACTCCCCTTCTACTATGGAAATAGAGCTGTCTCCACCTGCCTACAGTCATACCTAAACAGACGGACGTGAAAATGTTCCCCACTCACTGCTAGTAGATGTTCGAATGAAATCAATTATAGGTACTTAGCAATATTTTATTAATAAATAAACTATCTTTTATAGTTTATAGATTCCTAAAAAGAAAACTTTAGGAGGAGGACATAAACAAATCTGTAACTTCTTATTCTTTCCTTCAGCAACATCAAAGTATTGTCAAAATGCAAGCCACTTAGTCCTTTGAACAGTCCCATGAAGCACTGTTGCCTGTCCTTTAGGTTTGTAGGTCCAGGCATCCTGGTATGGCTGTTTCTAGCTATGAGAACTGGAGATGTACATCAGTGGTAGAGTGTGTACTTAGCATGTGGGAGTCCCTGGGTTCAATTACCAACCCCAAAATAAAAAAAGAAAAGAAAACCATGGGTTGCCCCATTCACCTCCTTTTTGCTTGAGCTTTCAACCTTGCTTTGCAAAGGGCAAGGAGCCAGTCATGTTTAGTTAAAGATGAATAGTCCTTTGAACACTTCTTCTTAAGCAGTGGACAGTTGCTATCATCTTCTGAGGGACCAAACTGACTTTATCCTCACTGAGATACTCTAAA